TTGTTATGGAAGATAAAACAATGACGGAACTCGACGGTGTCGAATCGCTGAATGCGGTTGCCGAAGAAGAAAAGCATGAGATTTACGCATCAACGAAGCGTCGCCACTCACTGACGAAGGATGGGCTGAAGGCGTTGCGTGAGGCCACAGTAGAACAGATAGCGGAGAGCGACAAAGATGTGGCGCGAGCCATTTCTCTTTTTTTTGGCAACCACGTGTATGACGCGGAAGAAATCTTTGCAAGGAAGGCAGGGGTGGATCCTCTCTATGCGCTGGGTGCGGCCTGCATCTGCACAATCAAGGCCATGCTGTCATTGACAAAGAGTGACATGGAAACCGCTGTGGAGCGAATTTCGTTTACAATCACGTTTGCGGAGGAACTTGTTCCTTCCGAGAAGAGCCTTTTTAGCAAATTGGCGGATGCCTTTCGGAGAAGTAGTAACAAAAGAAGGCTTCTACCAGGTGAATTCCGTGCCAAGGCTGTCCTCGCCGATGCCTACTTTTTCCGTGGCTTTATCCTGTTGCTGCAGCAGAATTCTATCAACGGTATTCTGCGGGGTGGCATGGCTCTTAACAGGAGCTACTGTTTATTGAATTCCCTGGCAAATGAACTGAATGAGCTGAAGGAAGAGAAGAAGGGAAGTTCCTACGATGAAATTGGGCTCGATTGCAACAGCGTATACAATGCACTGTTGGGTTTTGGTTGTGTTAATGTCGTTATGTCTATGCTGCCGCCGCGTATTTTACGTGTCCTCAACTTTTTAGGTTTCACACATGATCGAGAACTTGGGGTTGCCCGGGTTTCCCAGTGCTGGGAAAGCAAAACTCTCTTTGCCCCTCTTGCCGGTCTTTTTATTGTGGCATTCAACAGTTTTCCTCCCGGATTTTGTTCACTCACTAAGCCGGTGTTACTACCCGTGGCAAAAGCAACGGCAAGCGACGCAATCAAGCAACCACCCACGGAAAACTCGGTGATTCACCTGTGGCTTACTGGGCGCATTAGTCGTATTGAACTAAACATGGATGAAAGCATTGCCATCTTTTCCAGGTGCTTGGAAGTGGCCGATAAGGGACAGATTGCGAGGTCCATGTCACAGTTGCGAGATTTTGCTGTATATGATCAAGCATGGAACTATGCCGTGTCAATGCGATGGGAGGATGCCATTAAAAACCACGCCTATCTGGAGGAAAGTTCGGCGTGGTCAAAAATCTTCTACGCGTACGCGCAAGCATGCAGTTATGAGATGTTGTTGCACAGTACCCCAGAAGGAAATGTGTCCGAAGCGCTTCATTACAAAGAGAAGGCAACAGAAGCATACTGGCGTGCCGCACACTACAACGTGACGGTAATGGGCGGTAGAACCGTCGTGATTGAGTCTTTTGTCGCGCGCAGGTTGCATGACATATTTCGCCAGGCCGGTGTGCCGTATCCCAACCCGGGTAATAAGAGCGCAACTGTCCGCCCGTTAACACCCCCGCCTAGAAACTTAGTGCTACAAAATATTGTGCAGTTACCCATGCTGGAATTATTTGTTCTCTTTGAGCTCATGCATCAGCTGTCGCCCTCTCATCTTGAGGCATTTGTTACGATCATTGATCGGGAGTTGGAATCCAAAGCGCCGGCCTTTTTGCAAACGCCGAAAAGCGATGCGGTGAGTGTGGACCAAATTCAACCCCCCACCAAAAACAGCGGATCTCTGGAGAAACAGCAGGGCGTTGTGCTGACGACTATCAAAGCGATTGTTCTTTCCCACATCCCCGGCAAGGAGGAATTTGCCCTCAATCTCATTCAGCAGAGCAAAAAAGTGGCCTGCGAGTACAAGGGGCGGAGCTGCACGGTGGCGTGGATGCACTGTTGGTTGCTTTACGAAGAGGCCACTATGGCGTTTAACATTGGCGATACAAAAAAAAGCGTAGAGCTTCTGAGCCGAGCTGAAGACGTGAACGACGATCATATATTTCGTACTGCCATAGAAACGAAGTTGCACTTCGCCAGGTGGGTCGTGCGGGACACAACACACAAGAAAAAGAAATAGGCAAGCCAAAGAAGAAGAAAAAAAGGCATATAAACAAAATAAACAGAAGTGACAAGGAAATGGACAGAAAATAAAAGATAAATAAATAAATTGCTGGGCATTTAGCCACTAATATGCTGGAGTCAACCCTACAGGAAATAAATGCCTATACGTTACATGTGCTTCATGTCTGGTTTAATTACAAATTTAGACGTTGAAAAAAAAAAAAAAAAAAAAGGGAACAACAACAACAACAAAAACAGATGGAATTGTTGGTTTACTGCGGAATTTCATTTGTTACATATATACATATATATTTGTATTTATATTGCCGAATGGATTTGCAACCGGATGAGGCCAAATGGGTGTTAGGGCATCTTGTTGTACTTTATCTTTTCTCTGTGGATTGGTTCTTTTTTCGTTTCAAAGATACCGCGTTGGAAGGTAGCGAGAGCGCCGTTTGTGTTTGTGTTTTTGTTTTTCCTGATTTCCCACCCTATCCTCCGGTGCTGCCCTTCACGAGGGGGATTCCGACGGCTGCGTGGCTCTTTTGAGGGTTGCCGCTTTCTGAGCCTCCAACGATCTCTGTGTTTACGGTATATGTTTTTTTGTGAAATAATTCTTTTGCTGCTTTTTTAATTATTGGATCCATCTTATCCAATTTGGAATATTTGGCGCACCGGAATAAAGTGCGTTCTTCCGTTGTTCGCCTTCCGCTCCGTAGGGATAGAGGAAAAGACTGCCCATATGTGCATATTTCAAACATTTTATTGTTGTTTATTGTGGTGTTGCTAAAATAGGTGTTTGACCTCTATTCCAATGAATGCTCTTAGAACTAATTTGAAGGAGTTTCAAAAGGGCACCAAGCATAAAAAGGAGGAAGACATTGCTAAACAACACTAGTTTGCATTTTAAACGTCCGCCACGATTACATTTTCTCCTTGAACCGGTGTCATCAAACAAGAATAGAAACATAGGTTTTAACAGGTAGTAATATTAACGAAAAATAGCGGCGAGAGCGGTAGGCAGGAGAGGAAACAGGACCAAGAAGGGGCCATGTCGCAAGAGACACTCAGCGCGAAGCAAGTGAATCAGCCCGGTGTTCATGCGCCGGAGGTCAAGGCGTTGCTCAGTGCCCGGGCAAGATACCGAACAGTCGTTGTAGTTGCTGTCACATTCCTTCTGCTCGCCTGTCTTTTTGTCATCTCCAGCTCGTCCTCGGAACAGGGTGAGGGTCGATACCGGCCGAGGGCGATTGTGCTGATTGTTCCCCACCTTCCACCGGACATGCTGGAGGCGGCCATGGCAAGCAATAAGGCCCCGTTTCTTGGTCTCATCTCCGCTGCGGATGGCGTCTATGCCCGGCCTCTTGCGAAGAACACGGAACTGTCGTCGTCCCTGGTGACGATTCTCACAGGCAGGGTGGACTCGAGTGCAACGGGCCTCGTGGGTGCGACGAGCTTTCTGGGGAAGATGAAGAGGGCCGGGAGGAAGCCCGTCGTTCTGGCGGCGGCGTCGTACTGGTCGGCACAGGTGGCGGCGGCGGACGGCAACTGCAGCCGTGTGGGGCTGTTTGACTCGGAGTGCTCCGGTCTCAGGTGCCCCGCGGCAACCGAGGCGGCGTACTGCAACGCCGCGGAGAAGCTCCTGTCATGTGACGGCAAGGCGCAGCTTTACGAAGAGGATGTTCTGGAGGCGTTTCGCCACCTCATGCAGCATGACGGCGACCTCCTGTACGCTCACGCAAATGCCCTGTGTGGCACGGTCAGCACTGACGAAGAGCGCATGGCTGTCTTGAGCGACATCAGCATCATGGACAGCACACTGGGGAAGATTGCGCTTGCCGTGATTGAGCGCTCCAGCACGACGAGGGAGAGCTGGCTGATCATGCTTGTTGGTGCGGGGGGCAACGGTCTGGAAAGGGTTCCGTTGGTGATGGTGGCGTATGCGAAAGGAGGTCTTGTGCGTTTTGGTCCCATACCCGAGGAGGCGACACTTGCCGATGTTGCCCCAACCGTGCTGCATTGGTTTGCTCTTTCCTCCCATGGCGACGCGCAGCGGGTGCGAGGCATGTGCTCCACAGGTGTGGCTGCCATCAGCTGCGAGACCACCACAAGATGGCCATGAGTCTGCTCCGTGAAGGTGAGGTGAAAAAAATGAGGCATGCTGTTGTGGCGGTGTTCCACTTTAATTTGATGACGTTGAAAGTGAGCCGAAATTTGTCGCTGTGGAGCGATATATATATCTGATGAAATGGGGAAATGGTCATAAAAATGGAGCTTTCTGTTTCCTGTTGTGCGGCTTTACTTGTTGTTGATGCTTGGATTTCATTATGAATTGTTTTTTCTTGTTGTTTTTGTTGTTGGGGTGTTGTTTTAGCAGTTACACGAGAGAGCTGAAGAGAAACGCCATTGTGGGGGGACGGAGTGGCATGCAGTGTGGGAAAGTTTCTTCGTTGGCCCGATCGAGTGGCGACGCGGAGGCTGGTGTCTCCACTGGGGAGCTTGTATCGGTTCCCGTGATAGATCGCTCCCTTTCACGTGCAGCCGCGGTCTTTCCGGCGTCTTTTGCGTTGTCTTTCGTTGCTGAAAATGAGACTACCGCTGCCGGAGTGAATGACTCCGCGTTGCACGATACAACTGTTTTTTCTGATCTTAGTGACGAGATACAGAGGGTTGAGGCTCGTCTGTCTGCCATCCGGGAGGAAGAAGCTCGGTTGATGCCCAAGCGAACAGTTCCTGCAGTGCCAGCTCGCGAGAGTGGTCGTTTTAGTTCAGCATTAGATCTCAAAACTGGAGATTATGCAGCCGAGCTGACCGCTTCGGGCAGTTATCGTCCGAATTCTCTTAGCAATGCAGATACTCTGTCAACAGAGCCAGATGCCACCTTTTGTAGGAATTCATTTCCAACGGCTGCTGCAACGTCCACGAGTTCTTCAGGGCGACAAAGAAGTCCACTGCATAGAACAAACGCCTCATTAGCATATGCCAATGATTTAACGAACACTGTACCGGAAAAAAGGCATTACGATCCTCTGGAGTCTGCGCCATCGTCAATAGGAGGCATGCGTGATTCACGCGTAGAGTCTGTAAGGCCTCTAGTAGAGCCGCGAGACCCCGTCTATTCTCTCGTAAACTTTCTTCGTCCGCTTCGCGTAGTTGACATTGAAATCGATACGGGTGTCTATGAGAAACTAGAAGTATTTGCAGGTGAAGACATGAAGGGGGTTGCACGGCGGTTTATTGAAAAGCATGGTCTGAATATGGAAAGGGCCTTTAGACCCCTTTACGCGTTTCTGTCGTCGTTGAAAATTACTGAACTGCGAAATTCTCCCCTAAAGTCCCCAAAAGAAAAAGTATCTCCTCCACAGGGCTCCAAAACCGGCACTGCTACTGTCCCCAGTCATTTTGGCCACTTCCCTTTTAAAGGAGACTCTGGCCGAGTGAAGCCCAGTTGCACGGAAACCCTGGGCCATTCATCTGAGGCCAAGAAGAAAATTGCGGCATGTGAAAGAGCACCAGGTCGTCATACTTTTGATCATATTCGTCAGCATCCCACCAGAAGTGTCTCCCTGGACAAAACACGGAGGGCGGCTGCTGCAAATGGCGTCTCACAGTTTGCGAAGCAAGCATCAGATCGCATCGTGAGGGAGGGAAGGACAGCGATTTCGGGCCGATCCCAGAGGAAAAACACTTCTCCTCAACAAAAAACACACCGAACGAGCACGCCTTTGAATGGTTTAAAGAGTCCACGGGCCGTCTGTCAGATGGATAAGACAAAAGAGTGCCGCCGTGGCAATACTCCGACGTGGCTTAACGTGGAAGATACCAACGTGGCACCCGCAATTCCGGTCAAAAATAATATTCCCCCGGAAGTGGTGGCGGTGGAGGTGGAAGTCAATAGACCCACAAGGACAATAACAAATAGTACAGTAAAGGTACGGTCCCAAAATGGTGTTTGCAACAATTTCTATTCACAAAGAAGTTCATCCGAACTATGTCGAGGTCTTGGCACGGCAAGGAGCCGTAAATCTTCCACTCTTGAGGAGGAGCCCGTGCCTACCTTCAGGCCCTCTCTTGCTCCAAGAAGTAAAGAATTGGTTGCGAAAAACCCGGAGCGTCTTCAAGGCCCCACCTATGCACGTCTTCATGCACACGCTCGAAGATTTTCAAAATCTTTTACGAATGCGAATGCAGAATGCACTGGTAAGCCGAAAATTCTTTCTCGCAAGCGTGAAAACAATTCTCGGGTGCCGGTGGGACAGCGTCTTTACGATCAGGCAGTAGATCAACAACATCGTATGCAAGAAAGGCAAATTAAAGAAAAACAACGGAAAGATGACGAAGAACGATTTGCCATTGCTGGGCCTCAAATTAACAAAATTAGGCGACCGAGTTTGAAAGAGAGGGACTCGCAATCATCCACGTTTTGTGCCTTGCGAGCGCGCCCTTCAAACCATTCGAGACAAAATTCGTGTGTTTTGAAATCCCATGAAGAAAGAGAATTAGAGGCATGTACCTTTGTCCCGGCTGTTAACCCTGCATCGGTTCGCATATTCAATATGGTTGTTCGTGGTCGGGATTCGGAGGAGGAGTGGGGGGAATGCGAAGGGAACTCTCAGGCGCATTCGGTGAACCCTTTACCCAGTGGCGGTAGTCGATCACAGAACAGTGAGGATGTCCGAAGAACATCTTCGGTTGCGGACCGTTTGTTGCGTCATGAACAAAACCGTCGCAAACGGCTTGAAGAGGAGCGGTTGTTTAGAGAAAACTTCGATTTGGCGACGGGTCGGCCACTCTTTCGGCCATTTCTTGGACGTTAGAAGAAAGTGGAAAGAGCCTCGTCGTTGCTCCTGTTATATTTTTTTGGTTTTGTATTGGCACTTAGATACCACTGGCAGCATTTTTCTTTTATCACAACGTGATCATTATTTTTCTTTTTCTTGCTGCTATCGGTGTTATTTTGTTTTTGTCTTTTTTTGTTTGTTTGTTTGTTTTTTTATTTCTTTGAATCGGAGTTTACTGTGCAGTCGTCAAGGTGTGTTTTTCCCCCTTTTTTTCTGTTTGTGAATATGAGGAGGCTGGACGGTGAGCAGAGATACATTCATGTGTATGTGGACTGCTTGAACTGCTGGTTTTTCTTCTTCTTCATTTTATTGGACCTGCTTAGCCGTGATGAAAGCGATTCGATTTGACAAGCCTCGATTGGCTTTGATTGGATGTTGTGCAAGAGTGACCAAGGGAATGCCTCGCATTGACGGCTTTAGGGCATACTCCATGGAGCAGGGCGTTGCGGTGCATCCACGGCGGGAGCAGGTGAATTTGACTTGCCGCTCCTTGCATAGTGCGTTGGGCTCTCTCTTGGAGGATCGTCAGTGTTTGTACCGGGATGCGGTGCTGAGCGCAAAGCTTTCCCCCCATCGTCATGAACTAAAAAGCCTTTTACAAAGGGATTCCATGCCTGTTGCCGGATCCGTGAATGAAACAGAACTAACAAAGGCGAGGCTCTTGGATTGGAGAGAGGAATGGGTACGTGAAGGGGATGGTGGCGAAGACTCCCTCCTAGCTTTTTACAACGCATTCCTTTTAAGTTCTGCTATCAGGTCGGATGCCGATGTACGTCTGGTGTTGGATGTGATGCGGGATCATGACCATCTGGAGCCGAATGCCGATACCTACATTGCAATCATGCTTTCACTTATTGCGGGAAGTAATCCGTCAAATCGTACGGCGGCTGATGTGGCTTTTTATTACTTTGGTCATGCCTTTAAGTCAAGGGGAGAATCATTTATCACAGATAAAATGTGGGGGACTTTATTTATTGTCTGTGCCGTTTTGAAGGTTGCGGGGAAGATCGTTGATCAGTGGTGGGATCTTTTTGTGAAAACTTGTGGGGATGCATCTGTTCCGCTTCCGTATACCGCCGTGCATGGAGCTCTTACATGGTGTTCCGCGAATCGCGATGTGGAACGGGTCATGCGTTTTTTCCACACCGCAAACAGTCGGGGTGTGGTTGTTGTTGCAGCGGATGATGAGTTATCTTTGTTCATTGGCAGTGGGGGTCTTACTGAACCAAGCAAGGACAAACGTGTGCAGATGTGCCAGTTGAAACTGTTGGTGAAGCTGATGGTTACAGTAAAGTCCATTAGGATGGATGGTGGTGTTCGTGAACTCGTTGTAAAAGACATTCGACGCCTCATTGAAGCAGACCTGTTGAAATTGGCGTCTTGGGGAGTCATTAATGATCTTCTTAGTGGTCTCTCCATGCCGAGTGCCATGCAGTTGTTGAAGTTTCGTTCCATGGACCATCCAGAAGGAGATGGAGCCATTCCATTCGCATTATGGGCCTCACTCTTGCGACGTTGTGCCAGGGATCATCACATTGACCAGGCAGAGTCGGTTTTTCTTTTCATTCGCAAGCGGTTTGAACTAACGGGCGAACAGAAGGCGGAGTTGGTGGAAATTATGATGCGTATGTTTGCAACTTTGCCACAAGGGGATTTTGCCTCTGCCATGGCCCTCTTTTTGGAGCACGTCTTGCGTCACCCCAGTGGGGAACCTGCGGTGAGACCCAGCGCAACGATGTACAACTTGTTGATTCGTGCTGGAGACTCACGCAATGCTGCCATGATGACATTTCTTGAGGCATGCGCTGCAGGAGTTGAAGTGAATGAGGAAACATTTGAGGCGGTCATGGGTTGTCACCGCCACACCACTCTCGCATCGCTCACTCGGAAATTGCCCCATGACTATAGTGCTTCTAAACTTGATGAGCAACTGCACATTCCAAGGAATGTCGATGCTCATTTGCGCCGGGATGAGGCGATGAAACTGCGTGGAAAACAGTTGGTTGACTCTACAGGTGAAGTAAACTGAGTTAAGTGGCGAACCGGGAAAGAAGACGCGAGTGTGTGTGTGTGTGTGTGTTTGTGTGTTTGTGTGTGCGTGTGTGTCCGGTTTTCTGTTGTTGTTGTTATTTTTAATTTGTGCTTTTTTCTGCGTGACGTGTTGAAACGGCGATAGGAGGGAGTGGTGGGCGCGTGGAAAATTCGGTTAAGAAGTACATAGAGTGAGGAAGGAAAAGAGGAAGAGAAGAAACATGTCATTGCCAACCAACACGCAATGCGATGACGCCTCTATTTCCTCAACGCCCACTGCCGCCCCCCGTGTCAATGTTGTCCCGCTGATCAAACCGCGTCACCAGAGGAGGCAGCGGGGGTATCATCATATGGAGGTGACAGACTCGTCAGGGGATCGCCTATCCGCCACCACAGCGCTCCAGCAGCATACAAGGGAAGTCCTCACCGTTCGCAATGGACCAATGACTTATGAACAGGAAATGTATTTTCACCCTCATGAGTTGTACAAGCATGGGAAGTATCAGATACATACGAGCAGTGTCGGCTACAGCAGTGGAGGAGATCTCGTGATCACACGCGAGTGCGTCTCTGAGCCAAACGATGTGGATATGGGTTTTTTGCGCTACCGATCTGAAATTGACAGGGCCATCTGTTTGGATCCCAAAGCCCGTCGACCCTTTTCAGAGGATGAAGCGAAAAAAAAATTGCGCTTTAATGTTCCTCGCTATCGCAAGTATCCCGGTATTCGCGCCCCAAGAAACCGTAAGGTACGCAATCGCCTTTTGAATGATTACTTCGCCACGGAATATGCACGTAAAATTATGGAAAAATACCGTGAACGTCAGGCGAATGGAGAGGAAGAAAGCGATGCATCGCCTCCTGTACGTCCTGTATTTGGAAACCTTCCGCCCTTCTTTTTAAAGATGCTTGACCTTGACGAAGATGCTCAGACGCGTGCTCTTGAACGATGTGGAGTTCAAATGCGACCCCCATTTGTTTCTGGACCCAAAGACCCCGATTCAGGCGAAGCACGTTTTCAATCCATGAACGCTCGTCTGAGGTCGGAGTTGGTGCATGCACTCTCCAGTGAATTTCTTACGCGACAGATTTTTGATTTGGAACGTGCCTTTGCCGCCTTCATTGTAGAAGGGAATGTGAATAAACCACTGGAGTACAAATTCCGCGATGGATACGGGCGTCTCGTGTGTCACGGCGTTGCAGCGTACTATAACCTTTTCTCCGAGTCTCAGCAGCAGCCCGATGGCTCCAAGGTGACTATTGTGAGTTGGCCAAAAAAGAAAATACATTCTTCTGTGCCACTTACTTTGCCACGTACAAGTCTTATGTATATACTTCGAAAGAAGCGTGGCGATACTTCAAGTTGCTCCTCGACGTCCACACCGCAAACCACGCCGTTTGCGCATGCTGAGGACCCAGAACTTCTGCCCCTACCATTTAATCTGGAAGCGGCATCGACAGACCATGAGGTAACTACCGTGCTAACGCCCACCCCGGAGCACGGGAATTCAGCGGACGACGGAACTCCCCGGCCCCTTGCGATTTATGAGCCATTTTGGGGGGGTGCAGCCGAGGGCGCGGCCAACGAAACTACACAAAAAAAGAAAATGCGCAAGGCCATGAAGGCGGCGCAGCAACAGAAGGAAGAACTGATGGATGAAACCATATAAGCTGATTTCTCCGGTAGCAAATGCTGTTGAAATCATCAATATTTCGTTTTTCCACCTCCCTTTTTTAATGTGTGGACGTTTTTTTTTTTTTTTTTTGCGTGTGTGTGGTTTTCTCGTGTGTTGACCTTTTTTTTTTTTCTGCTTTTTTTTTTTTTTTGAATTTTGCTGAGTATTTTACTTTTGGTGTTTTGTGCGCTTGTGGTGGTGCTTTCTTCTTGGGTACTGTGCCTCGAGGCACGCATAAGTGGCCACACACAAACGAGTGCGGGTGACGTGAAAATAGAAGAGGAGAAGGTGGTGGCAGTAGTGGTAGTGGTGGAAGGAAATGGGTGGAAAAAAAAAGAAAATAAACAACGGTTATTATATGCCTTATTTACACGTGGATGCAAAGACTAAATCAGCGTCAAGGACAATAATATTGAATACGAAGCAAAAGTAGAGCCTGTAATTGTGTTGTTTTTTTTTTTTTTTTGAAGCACGTACGTGTTTGTGTCTTCTCTTTTTGCGAATATTTGTTCATTTACACCACTGTCCTTCAGGTGCATAAGGAAATAGAGCATTCAATGATCCCTTAATTTCGGTGTCTCTCCATACTTATATATATATATTTATATACATATAAATGCATGCATCTGTGTTTGTGTCTATGAAACTTTCGAGTTAGTGTGGTGTCTCCGTGTGGTGCACGTTTTGTTTCGCGTTTCGAGTAAACATGCAAATTCTATTCTCTCTGTTTTTCTTCTGTTTGAATGTGAAGCAGCCACCGTGGGAACAGGTGGTATGACTGTAAATGATGCAGCGGGATATGTGGAACGTAACGTACATACTGCCCAGGGGGAATAAGGCGGTTTATCGGCAAGTGCCACTGCGCAGCATGGATGACCTTATTGACCTCACGCGTGAAGCTGCCATAACATCGATAAAGTCGCACCACAAAAGAATGTTGCATTTTTCTGGAACTGATAAAGCGTGTGTCATTCCTGGGTTTGTTGTTCATCATCTGCCACCAAAAGAACTGATGCATCTTGGCTCCATGCTGCTCACCCCCGATGCCGAGTGTTGGCATTCCCTCCTTCAACGACAAGGGGATGCAGCCCAAATAACTTTGCAGTTTACGCGACAGGAGAAGCGAAAGGAAGAGAATGACGCACCATCCGATAAGGATCGTGACTCCATATCAACTCCTTCACCTCTGGAAGACATGAAAACACGGCAACTTTCGGTATCCCCCGTCGGCAAAACGGTGACGACGGAGGAGGAAGACAGAGATGTGCCTGTACCTCGTTCACCAGAGACTCAAAATGCCGTAGAGCCGAAAGTTACTCGCGTGTCCTCTCCTTTGGCGGAACAAAACTCACCGAGCCCCAAACTCCCAACCGTACTGGCGCGTCTGCGGGAACACATAGGCGTTCGGCCAGACTCAAAAAGCAGTTCGTCACCATTCGCCCAGAATAGTTTCACCCTTGAAAGCAGTGCCGCCCCAACAGTACGTGAATTTGCTCTCATGTATGTCTTGAAGTGTTTGAGGGAAATTTCACGTGGAGGTAGCGCTGGAAAACGGAATGTGGAAACATTTTCTTCAACATTCTTGTCGCGTTCTGACACGGCGTACTTTGCGGCAGCCACCGTGAAGCTTTGGCAATCGAGGCTTCTGCTTAGCCCTGCGGCCATGAATGAAAAGTGGATTCATCTCCCTCCACTGCTGCGTGATGCTCAGCGTGAGTACCTCAAAAACCTCGTGAGCGAGTTGCGGTTGCGGCTCCGTGACGTTGCCCGATTAGAAAAGAAAGATCCCTACCATATAAAAAGGGGATCCTCATCCTTACCGGTAAAAGAAAACCCATGTGAAGCATCCTCCTTATACGTTGGTAAAAAAATGGGAAAATTTGGATCAGGTGAGCCGCTTGTTCTCATTGAAGAGGTGACGTACTGTTCCTCCAGAAACCCGCCGCCTTTCTCAGTAGGCCACGTCACGAATGATGGGCTTCTTGTTTCTCTGCGTGTACCAAAATACGTCGATGTACACGAAGAAATTGTTATCGTTGGATCCATTTACTCCAAAAATTCTATTAGATTGTGTTGGTGGCTTGTAGAATACGGGACTTACTTGCAGCAACCAGAAATGGCACATGAGGAAGCCAAACAATCCTCTGTTTTGCTCTCACTTGACGAGTTGTACCTCCGGCGTCGCATTGCAACATTTCAAATAACACCCCACACGTTTCTGCTTATTGTGAAACCTGGATCACTCTTGTCGTCTCGGCGGTATCGGTGTGTGTTGGAGGCGTGTGAGGTCCGAACCGGTGAATTGAATGTCAGTGAAATATGCTTTGAAACGTTTTCCAAGGGGCTGTCAAAATAAAAAGCACTCACGCACGAAAAGGGGAGGAAAGAAACACATACATACACACAAATAAAGGATTTTATGGGCTTTTTTTTTGGCAATATTTGCGTGAAAACGAGATGTGTGATTGGACTTGAAACGAGAAGGGCGGCTTGGCGCTGTTCTTCAAAATAATTGGGAATACGAGAAAAAGAAAAGGCTGTGTGGATTAATCAAGGTGTATGTGATGTCGGAGAGCTGTAATGCTGAGGAGTTTTTGGACCTTTAATGGGCATTTTTACGTTGTTTGTTGAGTTATTTCTCTTTGTGGTACATTATAGGGGGGAGGGGGGCGACCGACGGCTTTTGGTTTGCTGCGACACTTCTCCGACTGGGGAGACAGCGCCATCGGGAATTCGCAACGGGCACCTTCAGGAGAAACAAAAAGAACTCTCATATTCTTAGTTTTTTTTTGATTTATGTAATTTTTTTCATTTGTCTTCTAATTATGTTTTTGTTGTTCTTCTTCTTGTTGTTGTTGTTATGGCTCTACATTTCCTTTTTTTTTTGCTTTTTTTTCTTTTTGTAGGGTTTCTTCCTCCTTACTTTTCTTTTTTTTTTTTCTAGCACTATCCGTGGGGTGGCGCAGGGGTGAGGTTCCGCGGTGCTCGTCGAGCGGGGTACGTGGCAGACTGCCTTCGGGTCTTTTGCCGCTCGGCCTCCATACGACGTTGAACCGAGAGCTTCCTCACATACGAAGCCCCACATCCAAGTGATATACAGAGGAGCAGGAGGGCGGGTGAGGAAAAGAAGAAAAGAAGAAAGAGTGGAGGAAGGAAGGGTACAGACACGGGAGAGAAATGAGGCTGTTCTATGGATCATCCCTACCTCCCGGGTTGGAGGGACCCACACGCGGCGAACTTCGTATTCGAATAGAGAAACTGCTCCTGAAGGATGATTTGGTCACTAGGGGCATGTCGTCGGATGTTCCCCACGCGGGTTCACGCCCATACGCCGTTCCTGTTGATCACTGTGCGGTGAATCCATTGTTTTGGGGTGAGCAGAATCCCACGTGCCACTGCGTTCCGGCAACCCCTGGAAAGCCACGTGGTGTGGTGACACTTGTGTACCCATTAAAAACGTATGAGCCGCAATTCAGGGAGTACCTCTTACACATGAGCCATTCCGAGCAAAAGGGCCTTCAGATTTCTGTATTTGTGCCTACTAGTTACAGTGGTCGGCATCGATCGATTCCTGTAGGAAAAAGCATCGTTGCATTGGACACACTTAAACCCTCTTCTCCAGTTTCTGGGTGGTTTACCATTGTGAGTGATGGAGCTTTCATTTCTTCGACTCCGTGTGATAAAGAGATGAATCTCCCTGGCATTTTATTAGAAGTGGGGAGGCTGAAAATGACTTTCACAATGACCTTCTTTGCACGTGCACCCCTGTCACCTACAAGCCATGCATCCCGCAGCACTTACAAAACATCCTATGAGAAGAATACAGAAAAGGAGAAAATAGGAGGCAGCGAGATGATGCAGGATGAAGCACGTGGTGAACAAGAGGTGCAGCCCGCGCAGGCTCCGCCAATAGTCTCTTCCGAGTCTGGTGTCATTGCTCCAATTAACAAACAGCAGCTGCAACAGCACCAAGAAAAGCAACAGAGCCATCATCAGGGCCATGGCGGTGCGACGGATCAGATCGCAAAATCATCGATGATGCATGAGAATGCGGGACCCGCCTTGGCATTTGACCCTCGTCCGTCGTCATCCCTCTTTCCTCCTACAGCAGCATCGATCAACTTTAATCAAAAGATGGCCGTAGGTGAGTTGCTTCAGAAGGGTATTAGTCTGCGTGATAAAATGGCGCGGGTGCTATCTCATTCTACGAGTTTTGAGGATATGGCTCCCTCGTCCAATTTTCTTACCTTTCAGCCACTGCTCAGCGTGCTTGGAGGTCCTCCATCTTACAGTCTACCCCTTACTGGTGCTGAGCATCTTCATGGTGGTCTCTCGATCCCACCTGGTTCCACTGAAAGTTCCGTTAGTTCAGCAAGTGTTGAGACCGTGGTGAGCGATACAAATGAATTGGGTATTGACGCCTCTCCTGCTGCTGGTGCAGGTGCGGACAGAGAAAAGTCAGGAGAGTGGTGTGATATTCCAACTGGAAAACGCCCTTTTAGATTACCATTCCAGTCTCCAGGAGTGTCCCAAAAAGAGGACACATATGTAGAAGTGGACCTCTCTCGCATTGCCTTTTCTTCAGGGCGAGCAACACTTGGCATGGAAGAGATGCGCGTGGGCATTCGTCTGTCAAGGGATGTGAAAACCGACGAGCCCGTGGAATCCTATTCTTCCTACGTTCACCGCGTTCCTCTTGCTCGCGGAGCTGAACATCACATCATAATTGGCTTTTCAGTACGGTCATTCAGCGAAGACAGAAGCCGAATGGTCATATCTTTTTACCGGGTGCGTTCCGCACCCGTGGCAAACCCCCCTGGTGAGCTATTGTTGCCTGTGCCCGCTTCAGCGCAGCGAGTGCTTGTGGAAGAGATACTGTTAGGAATGTGCATCGTTGGTCTGCATAGCCAATCAAGGGATATTGTTCTTCATGACCCCATCAGCGGTGAAGATCCGACGCAGGCCCATTTACGCGTGAGCACCCGAAGCGGTAAGATGCCCTTGCCGGAAGACAGTCGTCCTAACGTGGGAGCCGCCAAGGAAGGAGATGCAAAGAACCCTACCTTAAGGTTGGAGGGAGGAGAAAAGAGTCAGGTGCTCGTGAATTCCGCCGAGCGTCATAGCCCAATTGAAACTCAACGAGGCACTAAGACCATTAGACCTAAGGTGAAGTATTCACACATAAAGCAGAGTGATGTGGATTTACGGAGTTCTTCTTCGTCTTCCTCCTCCTCCCCCTCTTCATCACCTCCATCGTCATCGTCTATAGAAAAAGTACCACGAAAAGTAAAGGTGAACGCTAGTGGTGATGAAGGAATTGGTGCTAGTAGTTGTACTGGTCATGGTGATGGACGTGGTGTGGCGCCCGAGCCGATCTACGCTCATGAACAGCGTCCTTCTAATTCTCTTACTGCTCCCATTCCGAATACCATGATGACAAAAGCAGCTGTTTCGAGTGTGGACCAGTGTTTGTCCCCCGTGGAATTGGGTGCTTTGATGGACCTTCATGCACCAGGAAGTTGTGATGGGAAGAAAGTTCTTTCTTATGCGAGCGACGCAAGAATGGCAGATACGTACTTGGATCAGACTTTGAAGAAACCGGCCCTAGAACGGTTTCGTATTCATGTCTCGATACGTGCTGGAAAAGAGCTACCGATGGTGACAATAAGCCATGAGGGTTTCACGTCAATATCACCTGTTGCCGCGGCGGACCAATTAGACAGTGGCGTACGCTCTGCAGTCACATCTGATGGAAGTCTTATTCTTGTGGACAGCAAGCATCGTGTCTTTAAACCTCCTACAACATTTTTTGTTGTTGAAGATCTCTTTAATGGGGTGGATTCCCGGGCGGCATCCAGGGGAATCGTGCCGGATTGGTTTGTGGAAGCCGCTGTGCGTGGAAAATTCGACCGCACCTTAATAGTGCCCGAGTCTCAGAGTCCACAGTATGATTATGAATCTATTTTGTCTATTCCCCGAGAGGCAGTTTTCCTACGGCATGCTGTTAGCGGCAGTCATGCCACTTTTCGAGGCGCATCTACACTTCTCTCATTGGACGACACAATTTCCAAGGCGTCAAATAGTGCCTTTTGTTTGCGAGAACTGCGTCTGACACTGTGGCATGCCGTCACCGAGACAAGCGTGGCGTCATCCCCTGATTGGAAGAATGATGAGGAACGCTTCTGGGCCCAAACAGCTCTACTGGGCGAGTGCCGGGTAGATCTTCGCTCATTGCGCTTCCTAAAAGTACTTGATGGATGGTACCGTATCAACGCCATTGATAGAGTGGAAGAAGTCGTTGGGTACGTCCGCGTGAGCGTGCGGCTGCTTTAAATGAGGAGTTTGGTGGCGAAGAAATCAGAAGAGCGATGGAATACGAAGAAAATGGTAAAGGGATTTAGTTGTATAACAGCGGAATATGAATGCATCTCTGGGGAATGGGGGAAAAGGTGGCATCAGGACGATTTGTAGGACCTGAGAAAGACGGTGACAAAAGTATTAAAAGATGAGCCTGAAGTAATCGTGCACTGGCGTTGCCAAGGTTGGTGTGACTGGTTGCGCTGTTGGGTTTATTGTTGTTGTTGTTGTTTTTGTTTTTAATTGGCAGGATGGATTGGTTAGATTACGAAGAGGGAAAATAAAATTATAGAGGGAGAGAGCGAAAGAGCGAAAGAGAGTGAGAGAGAAATGGAATGTCACTCTGTTGCTTGGAACAGTGGTGTGTGGTCATGACGCCCGATTGGAGATCGGACAACACCAGTGTAAAAAGGGACGTCGATTGCGCACTGGATGCCGAAGCCTATGGCAAGGAGAAGTTAAGGTTTGAACTTATTCTCCTCTGTTTTATTTTTCTTTTATTTTTTCTTTTTTTGGATGTGTCTGTGTCCCTCTTTCTTTCTCTTTCTCTCTCTCTCCCTGTGTGTGTGTGTGTGTGTGTGTGTGTCTGTCTGCCTGTCTGTGTGTTGTGTCGTGTTGTGTTGTGTTGTATTGTTGTTGTTGTTGTTGTTTTTGAAAAAAAAAAGATGTCATGATGTGGAGTACTTATTTTCGTATTGCCCTTTCTGCGCCACATGCATTCAAAACATTGTAGACTTTCTTCTTCTTTCTTTTGTTGTTTTTTTGTTTGTTTGTTTTTACGTAACTGGCTTCTGCTGTTGAAGGGAGGCGAGGAGTTAGCTTCCAAGCTTACCTGTCTGTGTGTAAGAGAGAATAGCGGCGTTGAATGCAGCGATACCCGTCCGAGAATTGTGAAGCACCTCTTTTACATCCGGATGGATGTAATGAGGAATGCCCTTCTTTTGTTTTGCAGCAGGATCGCGGACATGTTGACAGTAAGAGTACTGGCGAGAGAGATGTCTTTTGTGACTCCATTGCAGAGGATACACCCTTCTTGCGGGAGTGGAATCCATCCCTGCCCCCGGAATTGTCCGTGGTTCAATATCTCCCAAAAAGTCTGAGGAATGTCGAGAAAGCGGCACCACCTGCTTGCGTTGCATCTATTGTGTGTGTCATTGAAGGCACGTTTATGCAGCTTTTGTTGTTGTTGTTGTTTATTTTTCATTGTGCCATTACATTCTATGGGTATTTTGCCAATGTTGGGGAGACGATAATTATCAGCTTTGTCGTTGTGTTTATTTTCAATGCAGAGCATGCCTTAATGATCCTTAACGAAGGCAAAAATCATTTTGGACCGCCGCCATTTCGAATTGTCATCCTTATTACAGAATGTTTTTTACTTTTGGCTCTCGCGTTGGAGCTATTTGCATTAATAGTGTGGTGTGTGACTGCGAAGACGTTTGCGAATCTCATTGGTCTTCCGGTTGCCGTAATGACGTTTTACCCACGGTGTCGACGGTTGCAATTGGCATTCCGTCGACGTGTCTCATCGGAACGCCGCCGATATCGAGAAAATGGCTTTGATCTTGACCTGTCAATTGTGCATTCCACGGTGCTGGCGATGTCGTGGCCAGCAGAAAACTTTGAACGTTGTTTTCGCAATCCTGCTGAGGAAGTGGAGGCTCTGCTTGACATGATGTACGGCCCTCATGCATATCTTGTGGTGAACCTCTGCTCAGAGCGGGGGTATAAGAACCCCGGATTATTTCATGGTAACTTCCTGCGCTACATTATGGATGATCATAATCCGGCGGAATTAGACGAAATGTTGTCGTTCGTCCGGAAAGCTGGAGGGTTTGTGCGCAAGGACCCTGAACATCGGGCTGTTGTGGTGCACTGCAAGGGAGGTAAAGGACGCACTGGGACAATGATTTGTGCATATCTTATGTACAGTGGTCTTCAGCCAACCGCAGGTAGAGCCTTGGAGCACTTTAGGGCGATGCGTACGGCCCCTGGTGAAAGGTTTCAGGGTGTCCAGACGCCTTCACAGGAACGTTATGTTCGCTACTTTGAAAAACTGTTGGCTTCAATGAGGCCACCGTTTGCTTTAAAGAAGAACGTGCATCCAAGAAGGATCACACATATGGAGTTGCGTAACATTCCGTTTCTCTGGTGGGAAGGGGGTATCGGCAAACTCTGGTTTGTGGTGATTTTAAAACCGTCTACGGAGAGACATGTCATCTACATCTCCAACCCGACTGTTTCTTTTAACCCACACCCACCGGACGATTCGGTGATGCGTGTACGGTCCAGTTTGCATGACATCTGCGTGCCGACAGAGGATTCTCTGTATAGAGACTCCCAGGAAGTCAACTTGTCGACACCCATTTCCCCGTGCCACGATACCTTTTTTGTAAGCGTGTGTAATCAGCGTATTGAGTCCGCTACATTTGATAGAGAGTATAGCGCTTCAGTATTGAGGGAAAAGAAGGAGTTGAAGGTGACACTGGAGGCACGCCAGCTACAGAGTATTTCGCCAGTCGTTGATGATGTAGTCGTCAAATTCTACTATGCGCAAAGGAGTCCTAACCCTCTTGCTCCTCCCATGCAATTTTGGTTTCACACAGCCATGGAAGGGAATGAAATTCACCTCAGCAAGTTACAGTTGGACGGACCTCATAGAGACGCAAAAGGAACGTGCTACCCGAATGACTTTTCGGTTATGTTACGGTTTAAGAACGTAGTGGATAAGGATTAGTCCTGCTTAAAAGGTGGTTTTTCACTTTTCTAACGGAGTTCTATCTGCTTCTCTTCTTCGTCTCTTTCTTCTAATTGCTTAATGGTCACGCACAAAGAAATACGCACCTATCCTATCTCCCATGCATGTCTGACTTTGCAGATATAGCTACGAGATATAAAGTGCCGTGATGCACGCATGTAGCTTCGGGATGGGAGTACTGATCGTAGTAATGGTTTCATCTCCCGAGTAAAATGGTAACAAAAATAAAAAAGAAAAAAAAAAAATTGTCATTAAGAAGAAGTCATTTCGGACAACCTCTTATTGGGTACCCTTCTCCACAGTTTGTTACTTGTGTACTTGTTTTTTTTTTTCTTTTTTCCTTCTTTCTTGGGGAACGCCCGTTTAACTCATACCCCACCTCGAACCCAAAGCAGGCCACACCAATCGTGCAAAATTCATTCTTTTTTATATTAATGTCGACGTTTCTTTTTGAAAGACATCAATTTCTTTTTTATTTTTTGCTGTTTTATTTTTTGCTGTGGGAGGGTGCGGTGGCTTCTCCAGGGCTACACATCGGGGCAGCGGAAGGGCGCGGTGAGGCGTGGCCACCACTGTCGTTGTCTGTTGTGTGTGGTTCCCCTCCGGCTTCCTCTTGTTCAGCAGGCGTTGGACTGCACCGTTCGGATGCACGTCAGCTGCCATGGTGCTCACAATTGCCCTTCGAAGGAACTCACACTTCTCCCTCAGACCACTCGGTGCATTTCTCGGCCTTGTCTCCGCCTCTGCCGCCTTGCGGGAGGCGTGTGAGCGGAGCGGAACCCCGCAGCATCTTTTGGAGGGCGCCTTGGAGCAGGTGCGCCTGGCAGAACATCACGGAGCCTCTGCACCGGAATTGGAGGTGACATGCGTGCGCGTGTACGTCCCACCACCATTTGCAGATGCGACCTCCCGCCCCATGTTGCTCTTCCGAGGAACCCCCGACGCGAGCATAGAGGAGCGTCTTCCGGCAGGTCGGCGGCGGCCTCTGTTCTTTTCAAGCTCACTGCGGGTCGCACTGCCATTTGGTAGAATTGACGGGGCACGCGGGAAACACAGGGTGGCGCTCTGTCGGGTGGAACGTCGCCCCGGGCACCAACTCTTTAACAGGGTCGTAGCCACGGAAGAGGATTTGAGGCTGTTTGACAGCGTTGGTGGCGACTTGGACCGTTTCAGTCTTGCGAAGACCAAACAATCCGCCTCCAACGGCAGAGGAGATGAGGGCGCATTTGACGGCGTGGTGGAGTGGCTGGATGGTGGGGCTTCGTACCGTTTTGATGCTGCACACGCGCGGATTCACACATTGCTGTGCATCGACGTACAGTGGTGAGAGGACCCCTGGAGCAGCGCACAGGTAGCGGGGAGGCCCATCAGGTCTTTACAACCAATTTGGGCAATGAGGGATGTGCACGCATTCTCCTTTACTTTTTTTACTCGGAGCCTTTTGGCTTTTGTTGTTACTTTTGTTTGCGTGTGTGTGTAGTTTTGCCTCTCATGCAGTGTGGATATAACTTTTTTGCTCTTCCTCTGCCGGCGAGCATACTACTTGCAGTCGAAGGGGAAGTGGCTTCTCCGCCGCACACAGTTGCACATAGGATGCCCCCGAACGCTCGCCTGCGCATTCGCCTCATTGGCCCCAGCGGACACAAGTCTGAGTATCACTGTGCCACGCTGCTTGGGAACTGGCAGGAGGAGCGAATGTCATTTGGCCTGAAGGACCCCGCGAAGGAGCCGCTAGAAGGCCAGACGACATATTTAGCGTCATACAGGGGCACCAATAACGACGAGGAACTTCTTGCAGCTAAGCCCCCTGGATGTTTTTGCGCCGAAGCACCTGTGCAGCTTCTTTTCTACCACGGCGACATCGTTGCGCCACCGCAGAGCCAGTTCACCGTACACGAGCTTAGTTACACCCGTCCGACGAGGGACGTCGGGGCAAACCCACCCAAGACCATCCTGGACAAGGAAGGCATATCTCAGCGGCGGGAGAAAACAGAGGCACTGCGCCGTGCCATGGGATTCAGTGGGCATCGGACCGCCGTTGGAGCTCCGTCCTCCCTCGGAAGAAACACAGAGGCGGCACCTTTGGCGTATAGCACAAGGTGTGCCACAGAAAGGGACAACGAATATACGCGAACACCGCGTCGTGGACACTATCAGCCAGCAAAGCTCCCGCCTATTGGACGTCTACAGGCGAAGGAGCGGTTCCTGACAACCAAAAATGTCACTTTTGATGCAACAGGAGAATACCTCAAAGACAACATTGACGAATACCCTGCAGCAAGTAGTGAATGCTGGGGGCAGTTTATGGCGTACAAAGACGATCCCATGAACAGAACAAGGTTGCGGGAGGAATATGAACGATGACAAAAAACGTCATTCACGCCCGTACGAGCGAGCATCCTCTTATGTAATGTATCACTGCAAACAGACGACGCGGAGGAAAGAGAAGGGTTACAAGGTGTAAGAAAACACGGGAGGGAAACAACATCGGAGTGGATTGTTCTTTTGCTCAGCATGTAAGTCATTATCGGACAGTCCTTGAGACACACGCACACACACAAACAAAATATCTTTTGAACTTATTGTGCAATTTCAATCCTAATCTTGTGCATGCACCAATCCAACAAAAACTGCCTATTTCCATGATCTTCCCATCACATAGACTGCTACTAACCGAAAAGAAAACTAAAAGAAAGCTAATAAACACATAAACACTAATACATCCACAAAGAAAATGTCTCTCAGGCTTTGTGTCTGTACCGCCACAGCCAATGGGGAATACTACATGAGCATGTTTAATAAGCATCTCAGCAGCTTCTTCAAGACCATCACCCTTGGCTCTACGGTGGATGACTTCAAGCAGGACAAGGATTCCAAAGACTCGATCATCCTGTATGTGGAGGGCCCCGTCGGACATGATGCCATAAAGTACTTGTGTGACGACTATCATCTGCCGAAGGAGCAGCGTCGTGTCCTTTGGATCTACTCACTCACTGCTGGTGTGGATGTCTACCGGTTGGGTGAACTTGTCAAAGAACTGCAGGACATTCCGTTCGCGAACGCGCGAGGCTGCTACTCCTCCGTCCTGGCAGAGCACGTGATGTACTCCATGCTATACTTCTACCGGCAGACGTGGCGCTCCCTGGCGAGTCGCGCGGAGCACAAGTGGGACCCCTTCCTCATGGTTGAACTGCGTGGGAAGAAGGTGGGCATCATTGGCTACGGCGACATTGGGCAGGCCAGCGCCAAACTTCTCAGTGCCTTTGGGATGGAGGTGACGGGTGTGAAGCGGTCCGCGTCCACGAAGGAGGTGGACGAGTACGGCGTGCGTCTTGTGCACGGCGATGCGGAGCGGGAGCGTGTGTTGCGTGAATCCGACTTCGTGGTCAACATCCTCCCGGGGACGGAGGAGACAAAGCGGTTTTTTAACAAAGAGCTCTTCTCCATGATGAAGCCGAGCGCGGTGTACATCAGCATTGGCCGCGGCATCACGCAGAACGAGGATGACCTTGCGTGTGCGCTGCGTGATGGCGTCATCCGTGGTGCCTCTGTGGATGTGTTTGAGAGGGAACCGCTTCCCGCCGAGTCCCCACTGTGGGACATCAGTGATGATAAGCTTCTTTTGACCGCCCACTCGGCTGACAGGACAGCCAATTTGGTCCCTGATTCTGTTCGCCGTTTCATTGGCCTGGTCAATGAGTACGCAAAGACGAAGCGGCTCGATACCTACCTTGTGGACCCGGTGCGTGGGTACTAGAGATGGGAATGTGGGGAAGGACCGAAGCACGTGTCTCCTGCCGTGCTTCATAAGTGCGTGGAGTAATTTATCTAAAGCCATGTGTTTTTTCTTTTGTTTTTTAGCATATCTAAAGAAAATGGAGCAATGGGACTAGGGTTTTTTGATTCTGTGGGAGCTTGTGCAAATGGTGTGCGCGAGGAAAACTGGTTACCCAAATTAATATATTCGGATAAAACGAGCGCATCTTTTTCCGATTCTTTTCTATTTTATGAGCCTTTGGATGGCCGCGATTTAGGGCATCGGGGAACCGATAACGGTAAGGCGAAATTATTATTATTATTATTATTATTATTATTGCTTTTGCTTTTGCCATCTCACCCTCTCCCTTTTCTATTGACCACTTTCTCCCGTCCTGTTTGTGTTATTTAGATAAGTTCTGGATCCGGCCAGCAGCCCAGGCAAACATCCAGAGTAGTTCGACGGGGTTTGCAGGGAGAGGCGCTGTTGTGAGGACTGCGTCCATTTCTTTTTGTGCCTGCATTCACTGCGCTTGACCCAAGAGGGGAGGGGATTGCCTCAAAAACAACATCGGTTTCTTTTGCTGTTTTATTTTTTGCTGTGGGAGGGTGCGGTGGCTTCTCCAGGGCTACACATCGGGGCAGCGGAAGGGCGCGGTGAGGCGTGGCCACCACTGTCGTTGTCTGTTGTGTGTGGTTCCCCTCCGGCTTCCTCTTGTTCAGCAGGCGTTGGACTGCACCGTTCGGATGCACGTCAGCTGCCATGGTGCTCACAATTGCCCTTCGAAGGAACTCACACTTCTCCCTCAGACCACTCGGTGCATTTCTCGGCCTTGTCTCCGCCTCTGCCGCCTTGCGGGAGGCGTGTGAGCGGAGCGGAACCCCGCAGCATCTTTTGGAGGGCGCCTTGGAGCAGGTGCGCCTGGCAGAACATCACGGAGCCTCTGCACCGGAATTGGAGGTGACATGCGTGCGCGTGTACGTCCCACCACCATTTGCAGATGCGACCTCCCGCCCCATGTTGCTCTTCCGAGGAACCCCCGACGCGAGCATAGAGGAGCGTCTTCCGGCAGGTCGGCGGCGGCCTCTGTTCTTTTCAAGCTCACTGCGGGTCGCACTGCCATTTGGTAGAATTGACGGGGCACGCGGGAAACACAGGGTGGCGCTCTGTCGGGTGGAACGTCGCCCCGGGCACCAACTCTTTAACAGGGTCGTAGCCACGGAAGAGGATTTGAGGCTGTTTGACAGCGTTGGTGGCGACTTGGACCGTTTCAGTCTTGCGAAGACCAAACAATCCGCCTCCAACGGCAGAGGAGATGAGGGCGCATTTGACGGCGTGGTGGAGTGGCTGGATGGTGGGGCTTCGTACCGTTTTGATGCTGC